TCTATCTTGCAGGATTTGTTGGGATAAATTTTGGGGAAATCCTTACATATGCCATTTTGAGCTTTCAGAAAAAAGATGGTATATAAATGTATGAATTTTAATGCAGTGTTTTAAATATATTACACTGCATCAAATGTGGAGCAAAGAAGAAATAGACATAAGTGATAAACAAGTGGACCCAATTTTTTTTTTACCTACTGTGACTCTTAAACTTTTGGTACTGTTTCAGTTTTTTGCTTTGTAAATCGTTCAGCAGAAATGACCATGGGAAAATAATGAAGACTGGCAGCTGATGGAGATTGTGTATGAATAAGAACACATAAGAAGGCCGTGAAAGCCTTCGACAATACAATAAGAACACCCTCTCTGTTCAACCTCCTAATAGCCAATAACTGTATTTCAAATTCAGGTATATGGAGGAAACCTCTGACTATTGATACAGACTGATTGATTATGTGCCATCAAGTCATTTTTGACCCCTAGTAACCACATAGATAGGTTTTCTCCATGATGATCAATCTCTAACTCTTTCAGGTCTTCCAATGGTGCATTCATTGCCACTGTAGCAGAGTCTATCCAACTTGCTGCTGGTTGTCCTCTTCTACCCTTTCCTTTGAAATGATATAGATGGAGCCTTTTAAAGGATCTGAAAGGTCTGAGGACCGAATATTATTTGAAATCCCCTCCCTGTATCTTGTGTCAATGTAATTCCCCCCTTTTTTAATTAAATAAATGGGGAAACCTAAAATACTGAAATAACACTTGGGATTTTATTATACCTAATTAACTTTACTGCTTGGAGTGAAAAGCATCAAATCATCTGGTCATTTCACATCCTGAACCAATCTTGGATGAGGTCCATGGCAGCACCCCTTCCCCAAGGCACCAGTTAAGAATATTCTTTGTGTTAGTTTTTCTCAGTGTGGTACTTTCAGATATGTTTGATTTTAACTTCCCAACCATAGAGGAACTAGAGGACATCTATGCTTGATTGTACCCAAAATACTGAAAAGCAGTGCCTGGAGGATATCAGAGTGGGAAAGTTTCTGTTACATGTAGAACAGCATTTCTCAACCCCTTAGCAACTTTAAGATAAGTAGACTTCAACTCCCAGAATTCCCCAGCCAGCATAGCACAGCTGATGTAGAAGTTTGAGGGCTCAGTCATTTGTATCTTCAGTCAACAAGGGGTTCCCCTTTAGATGAGGATGATATGGATGTATTACCAGAAATTTTAAAAAAAAAATCATGATTCCCAGATGCAAGTTCTAAACAGTCTGTCTTTTTCATCACTTTGTTGGCCCATTCCTTGCTACTAATCACTTGAGGATCCGGGAACTGATCCGGGAACTGTTGTGGATAAGGTAAGGGTTAAAGTTCCCTAATTTAATTTATTGTAAATTACTTTCAATTGCTCTCCACATTCAAATTTGTAATTATACATTTAAAAATGGTTTAGAATAATTACAAATGTTTTTGTGCAACATCTTTGATTTATATGGAGACACTCCATTCTCCTCTTCTAAACCTACTTTTGAAGAAAGAAAAATGCATTAGGAATTCCATTTGCAGAATTTCAACATAACCTCTAGTTTAATGGGAAAAAATTGTTCATTTTGGAATTCCTTGCTGGTGCAGCTGAAACTCAGCAGTGGCATTTGAGTCTCAACATAAACAACTTTAGCATCAGTGCTGCAAAATCATTCTAGTAACATTCCTTGGTTGAAGGAACACACCAAAACCACACAGTACAACAAAAAAGGGCATTTTCCCCTTCTCTTCCAATATCATTATTTTCATAATCAGGATTACAATTTTTGTTACATATTTTATTTTTCCTATGCTTCTTCCAAGGAGTGTAGAGTAGTATGTATGTTTCTCTTCATGCTTCCCTTATTATCTTCATAACAGCCTGTGATGTAGGTGTAGCCAAAAAAGATTGACTGGTCCAGGACCACCTAATAAATTCATGGTGGGATCAGATTTGGGATTTGGATCTCTTCAGTCATGTCCTATAAGACTAATTACCAGTGATAATCTCCCCCAAAGGCAGGAAAAGGTAGGATAGGATCCCTATATAGGATAGAGCAGTGTTCCTCAACCTCAGCAACTTTTAGATATGTGGACTTCAATACCCAGAATTCCCCAGTCAGCATGCAACATCTTAAAGTTGCTGTAGTTGAGAAACACTGGGATAGACTAAGGTGATCCTCCTACACAGATATCTATTATTATAAGATACTCCAGGAACTTTGTAGGAAATGCATATATAGAGAACACGAAAGTAACTATTGTGTAGTTTTGCGGATTCTATGGCTCTCTGGTTGTTGCTGAACTACAGATTCCAGCATTATTAGCTAATGTTCTTGCTGGCTGAGATGTTTTTGTGCATTGTAATTCTGAAACATTTGGAGGGCCACTCAAGGAAGAATAGGATAATGTTTTTCTACTTCCCTTGCTTAAACATTATTCATTCATTTTATTAGATTTAGACACCATTGGACTCCAAAGTGACTCTGGGCAGCTCATAACATAAAACAACAATATACAAAATACAATATAAAATATACAATATACAATATCAGCCTCTGCCTGGACAATGCACTCGGTATACCAGAAACACTTATAACAAGGGGTCCATATCCACTTTTCCCCAAGGCCTAGGAGAACAGCCATGTTTTCAAGGCCTTCTAGAATGCCATCAGGGCGGGAACCATATGAATCTGGGGGGGGGGGGGTTCATTCCAGAGGGCAAGTGTCATGACAAACAGATGGATCCAATATATGATTTTGTTTAATTGAGGGACCCAGAGCATACCAACTCTGCCAGTTCTTACCAGATGGGCAGGAACCATAGGAGATAGGGCCAGGTTATTTGAGGGACTACCTATATCCTGTAAAGCTTTATATGTGATAACCAGCACATTGAATTGCACCCAGAAGCACACCAGCAACCAGTGCAGCTTGTTAAGCAGTGGTGTCAAGTAGCCATATTGAGGCATGCTCATCACTGCCTGTGCTGTTGTATTCTGGATGAGCTGAAACTTCTGAATGATCTTTAAGGGTAGTCCCGTGTAGAGTGTATTGCAGTAGCTGAGCCACAAGGTGACTAGGGCGTGAGAGATTGTCTAAAACAGCTCCTAATCCAGGAAGGGCCCAACTGGCACACAATACGAAGCTATATAAAGACCTTTTTGGCCACAGCTGCCACCTGCTCTTTAAGTAGGAAGTGTGAGTCCAAAAGAATTGCATACCAGGCTTGCCTGAAGAAGTACAACCCCATCCAAGATTGATGGAGAAGTCCCATATCTCAGTGGTCCACTAGTAGGGTTGATTTCTCTACCTCCAGGCCTACACAGCTTCCAGTCACTGGGACAGGACCCTAACAACATCACTTGGTTGGCTCAGGGTTGAAAGATATAATTGGGTATCATCAGCATATTGATGATTCTGAATCCCAAACTGGTGGATGACCTAACCACCAGTTTCATATAGATGTTCATATAGAAGGAAAGGGAGTGTCAAATCTTGTGGTACCCCATGAAAGGGGCAGGGGTAAGGAAACAACCTCTCCCTTGTCAGTATCAAATGGAACAGGCCATGAAGGAAAGAGGAGAGCCACCATATAATGATGTCCCCAGTTTGAAAACTTCACAATCTGTCCATTGATTTTGATCAATGGTGTTGAAAGCCACTCCCATCCTGGCTCCATTAAAGGTCATCAACAAGCATAACCAATGCTGTCTCTACACTAAGTTCCATGCTGAAACATCCTGAATGTGTCCAAACTGAATGGGTATGGCTCATTTTGGTCACAGTCTGATACTATAGTGATCTGTATTTCGCCTCCATTGCTATATTCTTTCAACAATACTTCTCGTGATAAGAATTAGCAGGTGTGAATTTTATGCAAGGTTTTGTGGGAAAGGGTTGATGCTTAACTAATACTTAACCCTAATCCAGTAAGATTGAATAAAGTTTGAGCACTAGATTACAGGAAATATATTGTGAAAGTATAGTATATCGTGCTTTCTGCTGCAAAAGATTCTGAGCTTTTTCATCTTTCCTGGAAAGAAATAGGCCAGCCAAGTTCTCTTAAGGTTTGCAAGTAATCCAGGGCTGCCGGATTCTTTGAAGTTTGGGTGTAGTACATTATGTGAATTTAGCTATTATGGTTTCTAAACCATAGTTGTTGACTTAGCAAGATCTAAAAGCTGAGCCAATTGTAAGTTATGAACATGGTTAAGCAAACCATGGCTTAGTGTGATATACAAACTAGGCCAATGAAGCCCTTCCAGGTCCTTTTTAAAAGCCTCATGTAGGTCTGGGATGACCATTCTTTAAATAGAGAGTATATAAGAGATAGATTGCTGAAAATCAATTAGTAGCATGTTACAAAAGGGGATTTCTAGTTTTGGAATTATTCCCTTCCAATATAAAGCTATTATTTGCCACACTCCAAGTCCCAGATTAAAGTTTTTAAGGGGGAAAAAAAAGCAAAAACAAAAAAAGCTTTTAAAGAGGTCTGTTGCATGAGGAATCTTCCAGTCACTTTTTTTTTTCATCTAGTGCAGTTGACAAAACGAAAATCTGAAGCTGTGTCAAAGAACATGTGCTTAATTATTATATGCAGGTGCTGCACTGTTGCAGCTGAACTCATCTCTACCTTTAATCTCAGAAATGCAGTTTCTGAAAGAAAAAGAGGCCTGGTGACTTGGATCCTGGTTGTAGAAACATAGACCCTGATAAATGTGCCTTTAATGTGCCTGGGGACAGAAGCTGGGAGTTTTTGCTGAGTTTTTGTATCAAAAACAAATGCAGCTACCTTGTTGGGCTTTCCTCATTCCAATGATGAAGCCGTTTTAATTTGTGATGTTTTTTGAAGGTCAGCTTTTGGGGTGACAGGAATCCAAAGAGGGCAACTCCCTAGGTGAAATGTTACTCTCCTACTTAAATCATCTTAAGGATAAAAATCCCAGTAAGACAAGTTTTAACCCAAACTTTATTAAAACATAACAAGACACAGTACATGATCAAAGATAACATGCATTTTCCCATCTGGAGTTTACATTACACAGGAAAATAGAGACCATAAAGAAAGGAAGCTTAAAGACACAAACTTTCTTTAGCCTTTCTCAAGTCCTTTAGCACAAAAACAAATACTCCCAGTGCCCTTACTTTCCTTCCCTAGAAACAGGAGGAAATACTCATTTGCCTTGAAAACAGTGAGGGCACTAATTTCCTATCTCTTCAATCACTTGTGCACCATATATGACACTGTGAAAACAAATATTTTAGAAAATGAAGTGGAGCACATTGTTACAAGTAGAAGATGAAATGAATTTCCTTAGCTTGCTTCCATTCAGACTGATGCTCAAACTATTCTGGTCCACATGAGCAAATTAAATGTTTCTTGTATGGTATTGAGTGGAACATCTACTCTAAATCAGTGTTCACGGGCTTTTTAAAGGAAAAAAGAATTAATCATAGCTGACCCACTAGTTAATATCCCATAGTAAAAAAATCCCAGTCAAAATAGTCATGTGTGAGCAAAATCTCTAGTGACTTAATAAGTGGATGTGAATCAATTGTTAAGGTCTTAGATGAAGGATCAGGGCCTTTGGCTTCCTGTAAAGAAATTCAGACATTTCTAGCACCTCTGCAGCTTGAAGTCAGATATCTGAAGTCCAGGACCTGGTTTTTCTATTTCCCAAAGAAAGCTGCAGAAACAACTATCACCTGAAATTTGTATTTCCTGTAGGTCTGGCATGAATTTAGATTGTGCTAGAAATGCTATAAAAATTGTTTATCAGCCATCCCCAACTCCTGAACATGGATCTTCTGATTTGGTTGCTTAAAGATTATCTTGCCTTCTTTAATTGCCTGACTATGCCTCCTGTTGCTACCCCAGTTTTCATCTCCTACTAGTGTCTTCTGCTTACCTATTTCACCACAGGAATTATTCAGCAACAACTAGAACTGATATTGGTACTGTTGACTTCATAAACAGATGTGGTCAACTTTTTAGGCATGTTCTGACCTCAATAGGATCATACCAGTAAAATTCTATCACAAATTGTTGAAAATTAATAGACAGCTTTCTGTCAGAAAGCTAAAAAAAAAAGTGCAGTAAGTCTTCAGAGTAGGCTTAGCACATTTCTGTTGTGAGAAAATGGTCCACACCTGAAACTGAAAGGAAAATTCCTAAAAACTCCATGAAAACCTACCTTTCCAATTTGAGCCTATCTTTTCACAGGATGTTATAACATCACTAACAGCTGTCATCCTATGACCCCCTCATGCTAAAAAATCTACTAAAGAGAAACATGGTGTTTGGATGTGGTAAGATTATCTGCCTCTGTGATCTTATGTTTCCTTTTTTGTTCCTTGATGTGGTTGTGTTCCTAACTTTTAAATGAAGAATAAAGAGTATGACATTAAAAAAACCCCACAATTTATTAGTGTTCCACGGAGAATTAATTCATGTTTCATATAAGAGTATTAATTTCAGTGGGAAACCTTATATCAAGTAAATATTTTTGTTGAAATAACTCAAAAAAAGTATTTTCAATTGCTATCTTGCTGAGATGGTGCATATTTAATATGAGGCCATTCAGAATTCTAGATTTATTATAGACAAATATATCAAAAATTCAAGTAGAATTCATTGTATTTTACTTGGTATTAGCATGGTGTTCTACATAGTTTTGAGACAAGAAGAATTTCTTGTCTCAACGATTTTGAGATTTTACTTTTCCAACAGGAGGGAGATTACTTGTTACAGTGCTTGCAAATGGTCTAATGATTTTAAGAGAGGTGGAGTAGACCTTGGCCCCATGTTTGCATTGTAAATTAGAATTACAGTGCTTGAGCTTCATCTCACAGGAGAGAAAAAAGTAGTGCTATGTATCCTGGCTCCTTTCTACATACCTCACAACATGATACACAGCATGGTTGCAAATTTAGATTGCAAATTCCACATCAGTAACATTTCCACATAGCCTTCCCCCAAATCCCTCACAAAGCATTTTTAATCTGATCTGCTATTGTCTTCACATCTGTTGTCTTTGAAACATAGAAAATTCAGGAACCCCCATGAGTCAATCAGTGCTCATCCTCTAGTTTACCAAAAGGAGAATGTCAAATGTACTTCAAGTGTTCCATCCTCTGAGTTGCTATCAGCTGTGGAATAATAAAATCCCCTCATCCCATTCCACACAAAGATGAATTCCAAGAAATTGTTACTGCCCTTTTATCCATGTGTTTTCAGTGTATGGGTTTATATGCATTGGTGTTGTGGCTGGCAAAACAATCTGAAAAGCAGCAATGGTGGGAAGATAGGGGAGGAAAGTTCAGTTGTAAAAGAAAAACTAAGCGAAACATCTGGCATCGCCCAAAGGCTTCTTAACCACTCTGCCACTATTCCATGTTTGCATTTAAATGCCCCCATCACTTGTAAAACCTGTTCTGCCTTTTCCCAGTAGCTGTATCCATGCTTGCAATATGACTGTGGTGGCTGGATTTGGAGAGGGAGAGGCATATTGTAAACAATGCATGGAGAAGAGTCAAGGTTAGTGAACAGGACTTTGAACTTCTATGGAGTTGAGTAGTAATGGCTAGTTTGAGCCCAGGAACTGAGAGGAAGAGTAAGACAATAGTTATCACCAGTGAGAAAATAGGCTGCCCAGAAAGTCTGCAGAACCTCCATGATTTAAAAGAAAAGTATTTTTTTCAATAGTTTTAAATAAACCTGAGTAGAGTCAGAAATAAACTGACTCAATTCAAAAAAACAGATTACAGCATGAAATCCATTCAGCCTGGAGCTAATCCCATAGAGGATTGTGAAAATGCCCTGAGTTTTTCTCCAGAATTACAACTTGATTCTCTTCCTGAGTCCAGTCAAAAATTCTTGAGAACTGTAATTCTTGCAAGGGCTTGGAACAGAGACTCCTCAGCATTGTCCCCAAACTACAATACCCAAGGTTCTTGGGGAAGTTGCAGTGTCTTAAAGGTGGAGGATTATGAGATAATCACCTTAAGCATAAGAACTCCATGTAACTGCCAAAGCTGCTTTGCTGTTTTGAAATGCAACAGTTCTTTTGGAACAGTAATGGATTCAAAGCATGCAAAAAGCTTTTTTGGAATATGTCAACTAAACTTGAATTAATTGGCTAACTGATCTGGAGTTTAGACTGGCAGGATTTCAAAAACTTAACTGCAGGGATTTGCCATAACAGCATCTTCCCTTCCTCTAGCTTCACTAGAAGCACCTCACACTGACAAGTCATCAGACCTTGCCTTGCTGCTTGTGTGGCTGGTTTTGCTGGGTCTGCGTTTGTTCTGAAAGCATCCATTGGGGGTCAAATTTGGTGCAGAATTTATACTGGCTTCTGGATGTTGCATGTAGTTTACTTGGATAAAGGGGACTTCTCCACCTGTATCATCTGGATTGTGAACTCTCTCTGTTGCAAAGTTGACTGTGTTTTGCTGAGAGGCCATTTTGTTACTGAAAGGGCTGATATATTTCCCAGTAGGGTTGTCCAAACACTGATTAAAATCTGGAGGAGGGGTGCAGCTTTCATCTGTCTTCACTTGAGAGTCTCCCTCCAGTTTGGCAATTGCTGGAGGAGGGCTGATTTTCTGAGAGAAGATGTGCTTGGCTTTCTTCCATCCTAAGTGATAGAGTTCAGCCAGGCTTAAGAAGAGAGAGAAGGCTGCTACCACAAGCATGAAAATGATAAAGATATTCTTTTCTGTTGGCCGAGAGATATAACAGTTGACTGGATGAGGACAGGGCTGCCGGTGACAGACGTAGAGGGTCTCCAGGAAGATTCCGTATAGCATATATTGCCCAACAATGAAAGCAATCTCCATGGTGGTACGGATTAAAATACTGCAGACATAGGTGTTGAGCAAAGTGCCCTGAAGAATTATCCTCCCACTGGGTTCATCCCAGCAGGACAGTTCTGCCTTCTCTGGTGCTGGATAATCCTGCTGGGAAAAAGAGTCACACTTGCTCTGGATTGTCCTTGATCCTTCCTTGGCCTCTTTAAGTTTCCTCTTCTCCTGCATGCGCACAGTATGCATTGCATGACCCATGTACAACAGGGATGGTGTGGAGACAAAGATAATCTGAAGGACCCAGTATCTGATGTGGGAGATTGGAAATGCTTTGTCATAGCAAACATTCTCACAACCAGGTTGCTGAGTGTCACATTTGAAATCAGACTGTTCATCTCCCCAGGAAGATTCTGCAGCTGTGCCCAGGACAAGCATCCGGAAGATAAAAAGGACAGTCAACCAGACTTTCCCCACTACTGTTGAATGTTTATGGACTTCTTCAAGGAATTCTCCTAGGAAGCTCCAATCACCCATGTTTACTTAGTTGGGAGACTGGTGTCTGAGGGTAAAAGAGCAAAAGAGGGAGTTATGGTTTTATTTATTTACTTACTTACTTACTTACTTATTTGCATGGTGAAGCCTTCCCCAACTTGATGCCCTCCAGATCTATTGGATTCTTTTTCCTGATGGCCATTGGTAATGCAGTGTATAACTGATTACTGGAGTTGAAGTCCATCACATCTGGGTGACACATTGGGCAAGGCTGTTAGCCTTTGTAAATGGAGTGCCTCTAAAAAACATTAAAGGCATTAAAATACCACATTAAAAGGTAGATTATCACAAAGATAATAACGGAAGCAGATTATCTGTTTGCAATGTCTTAACATTAAATCAGTGCAGTATGGAAAAACAGGATGATTGTGTCAAAAGATATTCAGGAAGTTAAGTGATACACCCTTTGATTTGAGCCTTACTTATTCATATTCTCGGGCTTTAGACTATCATATAAGCATCATCATCCCACTCTCTTCTCTGGTGGCCCCAACACACCTGGATAGCGTGGGAAGATACAACAATGCCAGCCCACTTTCTCTCACTACAGGAAGAGCTAGGTTCCACTGAGAAACACTAGTGAAGAAAGACTCCAAGGGTTCTTAGCACTGTCAGTCATAAACTGTTTTATAGCTGTCCATCTCTGACTCTAATAGATTTTTCTTGGTTAAAAGAAAAATGACAGAAGATGAATAGGAAAGCATGGGTTAGTGTTTCCAACTGAGGCTATATTATACAATCTGTCTGTCTGATTTAAGGGGTTAGATGTTGCAGTCCTCTATTGCTCACTCTCCCCCTTTTTTTTCCATTGCTTCTGCCATCACTTTTTCTTGCAAAAGAAAAATAATTAAAAAGGCAAAGATGGAATAGCTACAGAACATCGTTTGCCTGGTAATACTATACACCTCCATCCAGAGAAACAGCTTATTATAAATGGGAGACACAGTGGTTTAGTCCCTGTTTATATCCTAAGGATGAGGCAGAGTGACTTCAAAATGAAATCCTAATCAGGAAGCATTCATAGATGTTGTATCTGAAATGTCCATGACTCTCTTCAGGATCATCCAACAAATCTTTTGTTACTTTCTTTGAAGGAAAGGATGTTTTCCTTTCCAAAGGATTCATAGTTATACCCTCATGTCACTTGTGTGATCTCATGCATTGAATGAGAGGGGGGGAAAAGCCACAATGTACCATTATTTGTTGTCCCAATGAGCACTGTCAATTCCTTTGAAGAACTCACAATGGGGGGGGGGGCATCCCACCCCATATAAATTTCTGCTTCAGAAAACTCCTGTTGTACAAAAAAGTCTATTCTCTGCCTTAGGAACAGATACTTCTTTTACTTTGAAAAAAAACCCCGAGAGGCCTAGCTGAAGTTGAACAAGCTGAAATATAAATAGGAGCCCTTGACAGCTCACACTACTATTTTCCTCACAAGAAAGGTGACTAAATGTTACTACTCAACCTACAGAACAGGGTTGGCAGTAAGTATGACCTTATGCATATCTTAATGTGAGTCCATTTTTTCCATCAGCTGGAACTAAATGTAATTGATGATTAATGCAGGTCTGGAAAAAAGAAATAGAGTGCATGTTGGATCCTTTGTGCATATGCTTGACAAAATAAAGTCACCTTGCAATGAGAAGAAGAGACCGTATGTGGCTACAAAGGATTGATTGATACTAAGCATGCTTAGTTTTCCTGTTTTTAAGCAAAAAGGCTTGTTCAAAAGGGAAAGTATTGAAGGTGTTTAACTTCGGTTTCATATGTGACCTGGGACAGTTTTTTCTAGGGTTTATTCCTTTTTGTTGTTCTAACATTTAAGACTGTCATCCCTTGACTGGAACCAATTATACAGTTACTTATTGCAAAATTGTTCCTCCTCACTTGCTTAGATGCCCATATCATAATTAATGTATGCTGTTGGATATTTATAAACATATAAAGGCTCTGTGAGATGGATGGATGAAAAAAATATTTCTTTCCAATTAATTTTTGTAATGATTAACTCTGTGATGATCCAAACTGGATTTTTTCTATTTGGGAATAATTTTCTCAGCAGAAACATCTGTTTCTTTGAGAAATCAGGCAAAGCTTGTACCATTGTTATGTTTGTAATGGCACCCTAATGCTGGCCATAGCTGTGGCATAACCTGACGTAAATCCTAATTGGCAGCCCACTTGTGTGCCCACAGCATGTTGAACCAGTTTGTTAATCCAATGTTTGCCTTTTCCTTGCTTCCTTCATATGGGAACCAACACAGCTTGTAAGTCCCATGGAATTCAATGGAACATACTTTCAACAGATCTACTGAGACTGACCGCATATTCCACCAATCCTGGTTCTTTCATTTCCTGATTTCTCCAAGCACACATGTATTAATTTGGCAATACTGTTAGCTACAGTTTTGGTTGAAGCTGTGAAGAACAATTGAAAGAAGGAAAGGAAAAAGAGGAATATGGAAGAAATAATGGGAGATAGAATGGTAGGAAATCGCAGACGAGAAAATGGAGAGAGAAAAAAATAGAAGCAAGAAACACACACACAAAAGATGCAAATTTGAAGTAATAATGGGAAAGAAAAAAATAAACACCCCATCTTGGGAGTGGGGTGGGGAACCAGGGAGAGAAGGAAAAGTATAGAAGAGAGAGTATAGGGAAAAAAAGGTATAGAAAAGAAAAAAAGTATAGAAAAGAGAGAAAGAAAAGTATAAAAAGCAAAAACAGGGAGAGCTGCTGCCAGGAACTGCTGGAAATGGCACCTGAGCTGTCCCTTCTGTTTCAGGGAAGCAGCAGCCATAAACTGCTGACCTCCAGATGAAACATTCTTCTCCAAGAGACAGAAGCCTCCTTAGGACCAGGTCTTCTTGCTCTGCAGCAGCAAATGCACTTCAGGAAAAATGAAAGGCTGTCTTTGGTCATTAATAGTGTCCTGCCTGTTCTTGAGAATTGTGTCAACCATTTTGGGCTGTCTATTCAGGTTGCAGCAGTAAGTGAGATCATTAGCTTAGATGGACTGGGGCGATACCAAGGCGTGACAAAAATATTGTTGCCACCCACATAATGTATCACCTGACCCAAGTGCTTTATTTGGTTGCTTTGATCCTGTATTTTTGAGAAATTGATTTTGCAAGCTACCTAGAGGCTTTTGTCAAAAAGTAGGAAGGAGATATAATAGAATAAAAATTGGTTCTCACATTACTGCTACAAAAATGCTACCTATAGGCACAATCTGGAAATAATGTAACTGGAAATCTGTGTTGTTGTTTTTTAATTGACTGATTTTTCAGCTGCACTGAAATTAGAATGCTTGACAGATGTGCTGATTCCAGATTTGTTTGAAGTGTATGCAGCTTTAAATAAATTCTAGCACCAAAGTTCTGCTGAATACTTGAGAAACTAGCTTCAGACTGTAACCAAAGGATAATGCTAAGTGGCAGATAATGACCTTGGGTGTGAGTATACAAGAGGCTGCTGCCCAGATGGGTGTTAGGTCTAGTTTTGTTTGTTCGTTATCAGTGACTTCAGTGTCAAGTTAACCAGTATACAACTAAGCTTGTAAATCATAGGGCTGGTACTAAATTGGGAGGTGTCGGATACGTCTGTGAGAACAGTCAAATAATTTTGATGAACCTAGAGAGATTAGGAAATATTGGCATAGTTCTAAGGCAGTGGAATCAAAAGGTTACAGCTGTTGCAGCTGAATTTTTCCAAGTTTTACTAGTTTGCAGCCAGCAACATGGACATTTTCTCTTTTAAGAATACATTTTAAAGATGGGGATAATTAAAGGCAGTATGATCTTTAGCCTTAGAAGGACATTATAAATACTTGTGTTATGTGTTTATATGCTGAAGCTTTGCAGAAAAGTATCACTGAGTGCGCATCTTCTGTGTTTCATGTAATCTGTTTAGATAATTAAAGAAACAACTCACAGCTTAATATAAGCAGTAACTGCAACTTAAACTAGATTCTTCCAGAGCAGTAAGAGAGTCCCCATTCTTTCATTGTATCTCTAATAATACACACTCCTAACTCTCCCTCTTATGATCCCCTTATCTCTTTTTCCTCCTTCAGATTCCTCCTTCTTGATTTTACTACTAAATTCGATAAATATTGTGGTCTATAATCTTTTCATCTCCTTTCATTTTCTCTCTTTCCCCTGACCAGTGTATCCCAACTGGTGATATAATATCTCATGCATAAAATAAAGTGGGCTCTAGCCCATAATAGAGCATGTCACAATCTCCAGGGCTCAGGAAACACAGAGCTACAATTGGTGCACACACTGTCAAGTGTGAAATATATCCACATGTATAATAGACAGTTATCTTTTTGTTGCATTATTGTTAAAGGATACATCCAAGAACTAAGTGAGGGGGGAGGGTTTCTGGCACTATCTCCCAACCTCAGATATGAATTTGCAAGAGAGTGATGAGAACAATATTTTGGAGGTTTATTGTATCTCATATTCTGGATTCAAGTGCCCCCCGTTTACACCAGATATGCTTCAGCTCATGGTATAAATTAAGAATTGGGAGTATTGAGGGAGCTGGGGAAGGTGTAGTGTAGCTGATGATTGACAAAGCCCTGTGAGTATAATTGTAAAGGTCTTCTGGAGCAGTAGCAGTATTTGTTCTATATAGCCAACTATATTGCAAATAAAAATTATGATCACTCTCATTAAACAGCTAAAGGTCAAGAAACCCATGCAAAATATACTTTCTGCCCACCTCTGGTATGTTACATACATGGACAGGTGTTTCTTACTTATATGTGACAATAATCCCATATTTAAATTCTGTTGCAACTTTGCTAGATTAATGAAATTTCCTAGCAACATTTTTATTATTTATTTTGCTGCTAATGATAGGAGCAACTTGATCCCAGTATAAAATAGCAGATGTAACCTACACATTCTGCAGAGCATTATGGATTTTTAATATCCACAATTTTTTTGACTTTCAACTTTTCTTTCTAAAGGAGGAAAGCAAGATTACTAGTTA